ACAACAAAAATTTATTCCTCATAGTTCTGGAGGCTAGAGAGTCCAAGATCAAGGCAGCAGCAGATCTGGTGTCCGGAGAGGTCCAATTATTCATAGACGGTACCTTACTGTTGCGTCTTCATATGGTATAAGAGGCAAACATACTAATGGGGCCTCTTTCATAAGAGTACTAACTAACCCTGTTTATGAAGGCTCTGCCCAAAGGCCACACTTCTTAATACCATCACCTTGGGAATTAGGATTTTGACATGTAAATTTGAGGGGGAGGAAACAAACTTGCAGACCATAGCAGATGGCAAGATTTTGAAAGCCCATTGTTTGCATTTTCTGGTATGTAATGAATGTAATGAAGTCTGTTGCATTCAGGAATTTCAAGGTCATTAAAGGGGTGCTATAGCACATCTCTCTCTGCTTCTCATATATGAAACCAGGAGTCTGCAATCATAGATGAGAAACCACTTTATTTCAATAAACATTTTAATATTTTTCTCTTCCAGTAGGAATCTTTCCTTAGAGCTTACTAAGATCCTTCATGCTCGTCTCTCTTGGTGCCTTTTTCCAAGATAAGAAAAATATCTGCTTATAAAATCTTATAGAAAAGTAACATTTATAATGTAACTCTAAAATTTAGACTAACTCTTAGAAATGCAACGCTGGATATTACTTGTACTTACATTCTATGCTGAGTGAGGGAAGTGGCCAGTTACAAATAAGACAGATTCCTTTGAAGTAATTAATAATTACCAAAGAAACATTGGCTCACTGCTTTATTACAACACATCTCCATTTTTTTTAAGGAAGGCAGTCAAGGTAACAGATGGAGAAAGTTTTAGGCCTGACAGTTATAAATAGTCCTGCAGTTTATTCCATGATATATTTGCAGTTCTCTGTCTTTGCCATTCCAAAAGTTGGATCTCAATCAAAATACTTTTCTCTTGACCAAAGAGTACACATTATTGCCAATAGGTTAGAACTCTAAAATTATACAGTAGGATGATGAGGTTTGGGTCCTCTGGAAGTTTTACTTATGTTCTTGAGTACTGTCATCAATGACACCTAATCTTTAGAGGAACTTCTTTTCCAGGGAATAGAGGAACACTATGGATAAATCAGCTGTCCCAAGGATTGCTCTTTATAATCAAAGTAATACTTGCCTAACTAATGACCACTACATTGCCAAGAACTAGAGGGAACAAAGGGACAAGTATTCCTGTCTTTAAAAGGACACTCATGGGGAGAAAACATTAAAAATACAGGAGCTAAATAGCAATAGAAGACGGTGAAACGTAAAATGTCACAAGGCATTATAATGATGATAATAAATTAGAAATATCACTTGGTTGTTCCAAGTGTATTTGCTGTAATTCTGAAAATTCCATCTAAAAGAGCATCAAAAATGTTGTGAATGTTCAAAATGTTACATACAGAGCAAATATATCCTTTTTCCTTAAAGAACTTGAAATTTAGATGGTAGACATTCAAGGGAAACCATCAGACTAGCAAATATTTTCAAAAGTGGTGATATCCCCACTGCTGGGGAGGATCTGGAGAGATAGGAACCCTTTCATGCTGTTGATGTTTGTGTGCAATTAGTACAACCATTCTGGAGGGCAACACGCCTGTGAGCTATCAAAATGTCAAATGTGCATCCCTTTGTTTCAGAAATCTACTTCTGGTAAAGGTAGGCTGGGTAATTTTGATTAAATCTCTCACTAAGAACAACGAGAAAAAGAAAGCAAAATATTTTTAAAAATCTGTTTTGAAGGCCAAAGAGAGCTGTTAGCACAGTGAAGAATTATGGAGCAAGATCCAGGAGAAGAAGGAAATCAAGACCAGCAGACTCTGGGGGCCATTTTTCCTTAAAGATGCTGCCTTTTGGGTAGAAACTCCAGAGAGGTTGAAAAGTTAAGTAGGGTTAGGGAAGAAAACATAGAAGTTCCTAGGATGTCCAAGAAGGAAGGATTCCAGTAATCTCCTCAGACTTTTGGGTGGGAGCAGGGACTGAAAATGGACCAGCCCTCACAAAGACTGAAGCTCAGCTTTGAATCATTTTTCAGATAATAATTTGATTAAGACAATTCTCCACTGAGGTTCCAGAAGATAATCTCTAATGTTCTAAGGCACCTATTGTTTATGAGGAATTAACTTCTTTCTTTTATATCTGGGATGGTACTAGCTACATACCCTTCTTCAGGGAATTGAGAAACTAATCACTCAAATGATTGTTACAGGACTTAATTCTTTCACAAAATCTTAGTTGAGAACAGTTATATTGCATTATCTGGGATTATATACAACAATCAGCACTCAGTCAAAAAGTAACCAGGCATTTGAGGAGATAATACAATCTAATAGAAAACCAAGATAGACAATAGAAGTAAATTCATAGTGAACCAGAAAATAGATTATTGGACATAGATTTTTTAAAAATGTTTTTATCAGACAAAATTAACCAGAGGCCTAGAAACTATAAAAATTCTAATGGAAAATCTAGAACTGAAAAGTTATATTAACAAATTAAGAACTCAGTGGATGAATTCAACAGCTTGTTAGTTATAGCCAGCAATAGATTGTGTGAACTGAGAATCAGATAAATCAAAAGAAATATCTGAAAATACTAAAGCATGTAGAGATAAAATACAGAAAAGAACAAAAGAGTCTAATGGAATGTGGCAAAAAGGATATATACACACAAATATATATATACACACATATATATAACATATACACTTTCTTTAAAATATATATGGGTGTGTGTACATATATATATTTTTTTAAAAGAGAGAGAACTGAAAAGTAGACCAGAAACCGTATTTGAAAAAATAATGACTGAAAATTTTTCAAAAATTGATGAAAGCTATTTATTCACATATTCAAGAAGTGCTACAAACCCCCAAAAGGATAAATGCAACCACAGCTGGGAACATCATAATAAAACTGCTGAAAACCAAAGACAAAAATCAATCAATATGTATTCATAAAAAAATTCAGAAGACAAGACATACTATCTCAAAGGAGCAATGACATTTTGAGCTGTCTTCTCAACAGAAACAGTGGAATGATATATCTTGGATATATCATATGTATATATATATATTTATATGTATGTTGGATATATCATTGGATGATGGAATTATGAGAGAATTTTACCTTCTCTTTAATTTTTATAATAATCAGGTATTATCAAACAAAGATACTTTATTTTAAAAAGGGGAACAAAATTAGTACTTCAAAGGTTATATGCTCTGTCTTGCCCCTAGGTCCATTGTGGTTGTGTTATAACAGGTATTGTTAAATGCATTTCATTACCTCTATATGGAAGAAACTCTGCAAAGTAAGGGTCAGGTAAGACCCCTAGACTCAGATCCCTAACATCTTCCTAAATTTAGGGAAGATCAATATGTGTATCAGTATCCTTTGAGCCCCATGGTGGCTCTCATTTCATGAGAAGCATCAATCAGTGGTCACCCTTCTCTTTTCTTTATAAGAAACTTCAGAATAATAAGAATTGGGTTAAAGTTTTGAATTTTTTCTTGCTAAAATGTGAGTCTAAATTATAATCTGTTCCGTAAAGGTAAAAAAAAAAAAACAAGCAGTATTCCTATTTCCTAAAGATAAAATGTGTTTGGATCATAATTCTAAAAGACACAATCCTGAATGGCATAATCCCAAATGTTGAGATCCTGAAAGATGAAAATCCCTGAAGTCTAAATCCCTAAAGTCTAAAATTCTAAAAATCTCAATCCTGAAAGATTAAAATCCTGAATGTTGAAATCTTGAAAGCTAAATTCTGGGGAAGGGATTCATGTGCTTTTTCAGTTGTACATAGGATAGTTGCATCATGTTAGGCAGAATTATTAACTTATTATTGTCTTTATTTGGAAATTAGTATGGTTTGAGGAAATGCATAAGGGTGCCAAATTGACAAGGGGTGGACTTATGGACTTAAATGTAGGTGTCAACTTGACTGGATTAAGGAATACCTAGGAACCTGGTGAGGCATTATTTGGGATGTGTGTTCCCAGAGGAGATTAGTGTGTGAGTCTGAGTGGACTAAGTGGGGGAAGATCTGCCTTCAATGTCATGGCACCATCCAACTGGCCAGGGGCCTTGGGAGAAGAAATACAGAATACAAAATGCACGCTATGTGTGTGTGTGTGTGTCTGTCTGTCTGTCTCTCTCTCTCTCCCCCCCCGCCCCCCAAGAGCTAGGACAGACTTTTCTTCTGTTCCCTGGACATCAGAAAATTTGACTCCACAAAAGTGCATTATCACAATGGTGACTTTGTGTGCAAGCATTGTGCATGTACATAAAAATGTTGAAACTTCCTCAATAAATGAACAGATGTCCTTTTTGGACATGTGCATTTGTGAAAGATAAAATTTCTCGAGATCTCAGCTCTTTGGGTTACTGCATATGTGGTGGTGACCCATCATGGTTTTTGATCGTGTTTGAAGACTTCAGCTGTTTGTCACAGTATTTCAGATGGCTGCAGTTAGAAAGCTGGGTGCCTGCAGTTACCAACCATAATGGTGTGCATCTACACATTCCCTTTTTGACCTATTTCTTTGTGAATATGGTTTGTCTGCTCATAACTGTTATACCCAAGTGACTGTCATTAGCATACCTGAGTGTTTATGCTTGCAAAAATATGTATTTTATTATTGTCTATTTTATTGTGGAAAGTAGCCTAAGAAATGTTCTGTTGTGTTTTCATGTTTCTCAAATACCCTTTTACAAAGGTAAATAAATTATCCTTTAAAGATTTTTTAAATTATTTTTTCCCAGAATTATATTTTTGGTATTTTCATCTTTGGGGATTTCAGGATTGTGATCAGCTCCCACATAGGATAAATCTTGAGCATTGATTAAATTCCCAGTCCCTCAGTGCAGTGCAGGGAGTTGTTTAATAATCTTGATTATTTACATTGGTAACAAGTTGTGGGTAATTTGGGGTAATAAAGCACCTTTTAGTAATAAAATCTGAATTGTTTTTATAGGCCGAGAGATCCGTCTGCCCCTCCGAATCAAAGGGGAGGGAATGGGACCTAAGATTCAGTTCAACTTTGAATTGCTCGATATCGGGAAAGTTTTTATTGGATCTGTACATTGTTATGAGGTAAGCGCTAGAATTGTCCGTTGAGACTGCAAACAGTACTTGGCTTTTTTTTTATGTTTTTATTTGGCAGAAAATTTGTATAATCCATCCATTAGCTAATACTCATCCTTATTTAGACTCCAAAATGTTCTGACTCTCTCCTCCCTCCTGGCCAGGTTAAGGGGAGCAACTTTTTCCATCTTCATCAACCCTCTCTAACTTCACTAAAAAGTTAAACAGCATCAGTGCTATAGTTTAATTCTTTTTATCCTCATCATTTTGTAGATTGCAAAGGGGAAAACCATAAATACATCTCCCCATCTGTTTAGTGCTTGTTCTCCAAAAACAAAAATCCTACAGATCAGAGGATAGAGAACCTTTTACATCTTCTAGAATGTCCTAACGAGGATGGCTGTTTTCACACTTAGAATTTTCTCTGAATGCACTAGTTTCCAACCCATGTTTAAAAACCCAGTCATCATGGTTTCTCGTAAAGACCTTCTTGCATTGTCTTTCCAATTAAATAGAAAATGAAATTTCACAAGATGTTTTCATGGGTTCTTCAGGGTCAGTGTTACTTCAATGTCACCTCATCACTAAATTGTATCTGGGGTTTATTTTTACACTATTTCAAAGCTATGACCATTGAAATTTTGTTTTAGAAAGACTCCTAAATTGCATATGATTGTATATTTATAGAGCTAAGAAAAGCAATTATTTAATGAGTGGCAAATACATGTCAGGTTCCATGCTTTATTGTGTGTGCCTGTCTATGTGTTTGTGTGTGTGTAATTTCTCATGCTTAGAAAATTGTGAAAGGTAGGTTTTATTATACCTATTTGATAAATGAGTACTATGAGTCATGTAGTGGTTAGTACCATCAACAGCACTGTCCTTGATGTGTTTTGAGCACACAACTAGTGCTTTCCCATCCATCAGTTCATTTCGTCCCCCACAAAACCCTTCAGGGTCAGTACAATCACTGTTCCTATTTTATAGCTGAGTAATCTGAGGCTTAGACAAGATTTACTAGTTAAAGTAACACTAGATACTGTAATAAACAAATACAAAAACATATATATCAAATACTATAGAAATTTTTTTTGTTGCTTACATAAAGTCCAAAACAAAGAGGAAGTGGGCTCAGGGAGCAGCAAACCTGGCTGCCAGAGGAGTTGAATGAATGACTTGGCAAGGTCATACAGCTTGTAATGTTTGTGAGGACTGGGTTGCCAGTGCCCTTTTTCCTGCTCTGGGAAGAGAAGGTCTTTGCTGGCCTCTCAGTCTTTCAGGCTCTCCCCATGGCTCCCTTTCACCATGGGCAAATGCAGCCTCCAGCCACCCTAACCTGACTGGGGACAGTGTCCTGCATTCCCACGTTCACTAGGATAACCACAGCCTAAATGGGATGCTGTGAAAGGTAAAGGGAGATGTTAATGTCATGATGAGATAGAATATATACAGGAACACACTATAAATGGAGAAATCAGTCTCATGACTGTCATCAAGTAACAAGTGGCGCAGCTATATTCTGCATTGTCCTGGATTGCATTTGAGAGAAAGGGTGCTTAGGCAGAGAAAAAAAAGTATAATAGTTCTTATTAAATTGACATTATGTCTGTTATTGATCCAGTGTGAACTTCCCTTACATCTTACAGATGCCACATCAGAAAAGGACCTTTAGTTCTGATGCAAAATGGATGGCATTTCCCTGAGTGTAAATTTAACAGAAATGTTCTTTGGGCCACCACTTTCCACTCTCCCTGATTTTAGTAGTAAAGCAAACCACAGCCAGCTAAGTAAGTGTTCAATGAGGTGATGCATCAGTTTGGACACTTTTGAGAGCTGTGCGGTGGCTGAGAAGGACGCGTAAGGTGCTGCTTATGGGAAGATTTTGCACTCTCTGCGTATTTAATGCTGATGCTTCATTGCATCTTTCGATTTATTACATTACCTACATGAGACAAATTTGAATAACTAGCTATTGCCCTTAGTCATTGCTGAGCTTAGCAGATACATAAAGAATAAACCATAACCCCAAGAGTATACACTATTCCCCAGTGTAATTAAGAAGGAAAACAAATAAGAGGTGAAGTTCTATTATCAATTTTCTCCTCTCCAAAGTGTTGCACTGCAAGGGTAAGAGTATTACCAGGAATCAAAAGGCCTCAGAATTATGTCCCAAATTATTGGCTGGATTCTGTATTCATAAGTAGGTGCTTCTTTGTCAGGAGGAACTGTCACAACACAGAAAATCTGGATAAAAAATTCCTGTTAACCAAAAAAACAAAAGGCAATCCATGCATCTTTTCAAAGAGAAAAACAGGATCCTTCAAGTTACCATGCCTTCAGTTTGCTTATGAGTTACCACTAGTATATGTTAGTTGCTTCTTAAGCACAGGTACATTTTAAACTCATTCTGCTTGGGCTGGGGATAGAAATAACAGTCACTATCATTTATAAGCAGTATTTGGCAGCCACTATTCTAAAAGTTACATAAATTAGTAGATTTAATCTTACCTCAATATGAGAGGCTAGTAGTAATTACATTTTTTAGATGGAGAAACGAGGGCACAGAGAAGCTAGGTTACACAGCTAGTAAGTCAATGGCCAAGCTGGGATTTGAACCCAAGTAGCTTGGCTCCAGAGTCAGCAGCCATAATCACTTTTCTACATGGTGTCTTTAAAAAGAATGAAGGGAAAAGCATGATTCTTACGACCAGTGTGCTTAGAATGAGGGAGATGGGAAAGAAACATAAAAGATGAATAAAATAGCAAGCAGCAGTTACTTACATATCCATTTCAGTGCCTTGGCCCTCTTCTCTCTGTGGAAGTGGCTGTCTTCTTCTGCAGAGGCTGCTGACTCTTTCCTGTATATGCTCTTGATGTCTTCTTCCCTGCCTTTCAAGAAGCAACCTAAGCCCATGAACTCATCCTCCAGTACATCCACCCAGACCCCATTCTCTTGGTTACTGAACCTTATTCTCTTACAACAGGCATCACTTTGTTGAGTGCTTCTTCTAGACCGGGCACTGAGTATGCATTATTTCATTTAATACAGATATACTCAGTTTCCTCTAGAATACCTTCCCACAGTTTAGCCACTCCTTTCTCACTTTTCACCATGAATCTTCTCAAAACAGAAACCTAAAATAGCCACCACTATTTCCTCTGCACCTACTCACACCCTAAACATTTGTCCTCTGGATTCTGTAATCCTACCCATTGGAATAACTCTCTTCTTCAAGGTCAGGGATGACTTCTAATTCATAATTAAAAATTGGTAACGTGTTCTCAGTTCTTATTCTCCTGACCTCTGTCCGCACATGACCTCTTCTGGGAATCCTCCTCCCTCATCTTCCAGCTTCCTGATATGCCTCACATTTTCCCGCCAACTTTCTGAAAGTTTCCTCGTGCTCTCCCATGCTCTTTGTCCCCTAAAGCCTTAAGTATGGGTTGAGGGAAGTTTCTGTAAAAATCAAGAGAACATGCTCTTCACCATTCTAGGTGTACAAACAGTCTTGGCAAGGAATTGAGGTGGTGTCATTGGATGCCAGGAATAGAACAGTAGGGCTGAAGTGCAGGTTCCCATACAGGAATTGTGGGAGGTTAGGGCAGAAGCATTAGAGTGAGGCCTGCTATGGCGGTCTCAGAATGTCAGGCATGAGCTCTTCACATACACACACACAACCTCGTGTGCAACCAAATATGGGCAATAACATGGTTCCAGAACACTAACATAGGAATACAACTTTTCTATAGTAAAACAATTGCTTGCATAAGAATTTCGAAACAATCATCCATCTAATGGAATTTGAGTTGAAAATATCTCAATAGGATGAAACCTAATAGCACAACAAAGAGGATCATTGTCGACTGGAATCCACAATGATGTCTCATTTACATTCTTTAAACTACATTATAAGCATAGGATTAGGCAGTTCTTGCTACTCTATTCTGACTTGCTTTTTATTTTTCAGTATGCTGCTTTAACCTCAGCCTTTTCCTACATATAAGAGAAATGCCTTCCCTTCCTTTGGTTACTTTACAGAGAGTACAAAAAAAGAAAAGGTATTTTAAAGTAGATATGATTATGATTAGTCATTATAGCACAAGTATAATGCATATGATTAAGTTCATTTTAAAGAGTATACTAAAAACGTAACAGTACTCTCTGGCTTAGAAGTCCTATCTTCAAACATTCAGAACATTAGACTGTTCATTTGTCCCCAAAAGTTTTTCTTTGATTCCAATTCTAGCAACTTGCTCTAGTGTTGTACTAAATAGTATAGCCACATGCTTATATGAAAATAGGTCAGAGGTCCATTGACCTTTTCATTCTTGCCTTTGTTGATACAGGTGATCCTGTACAACAAAGGCAGCATCGACGCCCTTTTCAGAGTGATACCCCCAACTTCGCCTTTGGGGGCCTGCTTTGTTTTCAGTCCCAAGGAAGGCATCATCGAACCAAATGGAGTCCAAGCTGTCCAGATCTCCTTCAGTTCTACCATCCTAGGGTACTTTGAAGAAGAGTTCCTGGTCAGTGTCAATGGAGCACCTGAGCCTGCGAAATTGACCATTAGGTGAGGCACATTTATACCTAACGTAGAATCTAACTGAAGTTTTTACCTACTGCTTTCTTGAACTTCATAACTAGCTCGTATCTTGGATGTCCATAACTGTCTGTTGATAGGAACACTTCAGCATAAAGGGGCATGTTAAATCTCTACCAGTGTTTCCCCAGTAAACATGTGTAACTTATTGTAATATGCCATTTAGGGATCTAGTTTCTGTGTAAGTTATAACCTTATAAAAGAAGGATTTAAACATTAAACTCCTTTCTAGTTACTCTATATTTTAGGATGTTTAGAGAAACTCAGTCATTATAGTAACACTTGAATAAAGTCATCTTCTTGGCTAAGCTTTGGCTGTTATCACAGTTTCTCTAAACCTTCATCTTTTGTTTTTATCTTAAGGAAATTCTTTAAATGACCTCACCTATACCGCCTCCAACCATCGTAAACACATTGCTCTGACTCTATGTAGATTCCCCCAGCAACAGGTTATTAATTACTTTGGCAGTCTCTCCTATTATGGTGACTACCAGCAAAACCTCCCTCCATTGACAAGCTGAAGTCTCCCTTGAGGGCTGGGGATAACAGAGAAAAGAGACAGACAGACACACACGACCTGGAGGATCCTAGGAAAATATATTGATATCATGATATCTACTGGAAATTCAGAACCATTGATTTGTACACTTTAAGTGGGTAAATTGTATCATATATGAATCAGGTCTCAATGAAGCTGTCATTTAAAAAAATTTCTAGGATCCTATAGTATTGAATACTAATACTCAGAACCTAATGAAACCTAATACTCAGAACCCCTGTCAGTTCTGCCATTTCCTGGGTAAATTTTTAAAATCTTTAATATCTTCTCCTAAAGATCCCAATGTAGTCATACATGTCACTAGCAATGTCTGAATAGATTAAGGAGTACTTGGGTTTTCCACAGTTAATAAAAGGATTTAGGAATCTCCCAGGAACCTCCTCATAAGTGAACTTGGACTAGTTAGTACTCTTGTTGCTCTGTGGAGGTTAAGCCTTTCAGTTCTATCTTCTGGACATTACCATTTGCCTGAATTCTTATACCACTTTCTTATTTTGGATGTTCATTCCTGGTGTTTTTGAAAGAGAAGGAAAACCTGACTATGGAAATAATGTTTATGGGGCTCTATCCCCTAACTAATCACCAATTGCTAGGAGAAATAGATCTATCTAAATTCCCTTCCTTTAAAGCTCAGTGTTTCGTGTGTCCAAAAATGTCCTGGCACTCCAAACCACTAATAATAATTTTGAAAACCTGGTAAAAATCTAGTGTCACAAATAAATATGTAGTCATAAAGGGTAAAAATGAATGTAGAACATATCACCTATTCCCAGACCCACAAATTAACACTGACTTCACTTATTACTTTGTCAGAAATACTTTGTTTGGCCTTGGGGCCTAGGAAATGTCTACAGTGTTGTAGCTACTGGAATTTTGTTTCTTACTCTTTTATTGCCAGGTACGCTTTTCTCAGTACCATGTGATTTTTACTAATATGCCTTGAAAGATCAGAATATTATACTTTACTGTTTCAATTTGCTCCTTCAGTTACATGACACAATATTTTAAACGGTTGGATAAACCACACTGTAAAATTAATGTGATTTTTAAAATTACCCATGAGAAGGTTTATTCTCTTCTATTTTTGCTTATGTAACTTTATAAAGTTTGAAGCATAGCATAGATATATTTTGTATTCAACTTGTTTCACTTAACATATCACAGTAATTCAATCATTCTCTCTCATAGTCCTTAAAATTATAATTTTAACAGGCCACTGCATTGATGTGTGGTACAACCTTGGCATAAGCTGTCCTAATACTCAGAACCCCTGTCAGATTTAATGTGACCATATCTAAGTCCAGATGTTATTATTCAGCCACAATTCCCTCAGTTATATGTACCTTTGAACAAATGTGGTTTAACGTCTACACTGATTAAATGCGTTCTGCAATTTTGTGAGCTTCTTTCCTATTTAGGTAGGAAATAAGGTAATAAGTTAATTACATCACCGTTTGCTAAAACCCACAGTTTGAGTCTTAAAAAATAATTTTAAGAATTTTAAGAACCATGTGATAGACCATCATCTCATAGCTTCTTTAAATCCTAGATGCTCTAGTTGATTTACTATCAAGTTATAGGTTTTAGTACCCACCTTCACCCTCACCCCAGTTCCAGATTGTTACCCTGAATTCACTGGAACCTCTCCTGACTCCCCCACCCTGTATTCTTCTTCCAGAGGCTGTGTCATTGGACCTACCTTCCATTTTAATGTTCCTGCTCTGCACTTTGGTGATGTTTCCTTTGGTGAGTAATTTTCCATTTTAAATTTGAAATTGGACAGAATTCATTTTCTCTCTATGTAGGAGGAGGGAGGCTTAAAAAGAACCTCTCTTACCACTTTTCATGGATAATAGCCAAGAGGATCTAGAACTGTTCTCTCCTTGCTCTGTGGCAGTAACGCAGAAGTGTTGTGGTGCCATTTCTTGGTTTATATGTGAAAGCAATAGCCTGTGTCCTGGCCACCAGCAGCTGTCAGGCCATGGCTGTCTGCTCTTTTCCAGCAGTGAGACCACAGAGAGCCCTAGGCCTCAACCGCTATGTGAATGTTGCGAACACTGTTTCGATACAGCTTCTCATTTGCCAATCAGGCTACACAGCAGCCTCTTCACAGAGATGCTGTCAAGTTTAAAGTGAACTCGGTAGTGGTTTGATTCAGGTGTTCCATCACTTCACACTGAAGGCTCTTCTATATGTTTGTGTTGTCTTCTCCCTTAATTACTTCCCTAAGCCATTTCTTCCTGTCTAAGCTTCCCCCGTAGTAAAAATGATAACAACAGTAGCAGCATAAGCTCCGTTTATTGGTTACTTCCTGTGTTTCACTGCTAAGAGGATTGCATGCAGTACTACGCTGAGATCTTTTAGCAGTCCTATAGGGAGGTACTGCAATATCCCCATTTTAGAGATGGAAGCACCGAGTCTTGGAACAGTTAAATAATTTGCTAAGATCACACGGTAGTGGTGAAATTAGTATTTCAATTGAGATCTTTCTGAATTTGTGTACTGTCACAGGGGTGATGTTGACCCCAAAGGGGCAAAAATTGGTCTTTGAGTGGTTAGAAAAACTTAGATATAACAATGGTTTGTGGTTCTCCAAAGTTCCATCCTACCCAACATAATCTCACCCCTTAATATTTAATTTCTCTTATTAGGAGAATTTAAATCTAGTTTAAATCATATTTAATTAATTAATTTTCTTTATTTAAAATTAATTTACCTTTTTTTGGAGGAGATGATAAAGAAAAGATTGAGAAATACTAGTCGAGATACATATTCTATAATGTTTTCTATTTTGCCTCCTTGCCTCCCAGTTTGACTTCTGCTTCATTTCGAGTAGGCCTATCTACTTTGGGGGAAAATAGTTCTTTGGAAAATGATTATTGTGGACAGAGAAGCTATTACAAAATAGGATGATCTGTCTGGGATTTGAGGGCCGAGTTGTTGAGCTAAACATAGGCATTAAAAGATGCATTATAGCTGTCTTTTCCATGACCCTGGTATGAACTGGAAGTATTTAACTCAAGTGGAAATATTGAAATTGACTTGAGGAGGGTGTAAAGTAGGGAATTAGGGCAAAGCTTAATTGCAATAATCACAGATCTTAGAAAGGTTGGCAGAAGACATCATAGTAGGTGTAAGCAAAGCCTGCCCAAGCAAGTCGTCATTAACAGTAAGGGAGACATAACAGAGTCTATCAGAACTGTATAACCTTTAGATAGGAAATGGAATAATATGGCAAAATGATAAAGAACAAAAGCATGCAAAGGAGAGTATGAGAATCAGTCATGTCAGGCGTCTAGCGAAATCTCATCCCATCAGTCTTGGGCAGGAGCTATTTACTTCATGTAAAGTCTGCTTGTTCTGGGGATCTCAAAATAGCATTCTATTTCTGAAGGTCATCTGCTTCTGGAAGTTTTTTAGAAAACCTCCATTTAAGATCTCGAGTGAGAGTATTTTTCAACATGTCTTCAGCCAATAATTCAGCTTTTGTGGGACATCTTTTCCCTCAAAGTTCCACCTCATAGTTCAACTGCAGGGTCAGTTGCTAGAAGGCCCTGAAGACCACTTTCATTAATATACCTTCCAGAGTACTCATTCTTCAGGTTGAAAGCCTCCTAAGTGAAATGTCTCAAGATTGGGAAAACAAACACCACATGTACTCATTATTAAACTGGAACTAACCAGTGAGTACATGTGTGCACAGAGGGAAGTAAAACTCAGTGGAAATCAAGCAGATGGGAGAGGGCAGAGGAGGGGAGGGGCAAAAACCTATTTGAACACTATTTGGGTGATGGGCACACTTACAGCCGTGACTCAAGCATTACAAAAGTGATTCATGTAACCAAAACATTTATACCCCCTCAATATTTTGAAATAAAAAGAAAGAAAGAATGGAGAGCTTCTGAGGTCGGGTTTTCAGGAAGGTTTCTTAAACTTATAGGTGAATTGGTTCATGACAATATTTATTAATAGTTGTCCTCATGAAGCAAGGTTGACTCAGATTAACGAAAGACTTGTAATCACATGGATCTTCCAGCTATTACTTCAGAAAGTGAATAGTCTATGAGTTCCAGAGGGAGCTAACTGGATCTGATAGCTATCAGTACTAAGGGTAGAATTCTTCATCAAGGAATTCCAAGAGTCTCAGAGAGCTTGGCCAATTCACGATCAATAATACTATTTTTATACTATACATTTCCCAAAGTTTATGGATTATGAATTTTTGATCAAAGAGTTAACACATTATAATATTCTTTATAACTCTTCCAGTGTAAGGTGATATTCCCCTGGTAGCCAAGTTATTGTCTACAATTTCTAATTTCTTAGTTGCAGTTCATATCTTTCTGTATAGGAAGGCTCAAACCCATCTAAAGAGTTTGCAGACAGTTATAAGCACATATTCTGAATTTGGTGAGCTGGGCATAGTCCACCTGTATTCTAGAGACCCACTTCCCACTTGCACAGTTTTCTTGGAGTATGGTAGCAGGATGTGAGGCAGGAGCCAGCCATGTCCCAGCTACAGAGGAGAAATTTTCTCATTGGTTCTTATTCAGAGACTTTCTTATCTCTTCCATGGGAGATCTGCAGTAAAACTTTTTTTTTTTTGAGACAGAGTCTTGCTTTGTTGCCCATGCTACAGTGAATGCCGTGGCGTCAGCCTAGCTCACAGCAACCTCAAACTCCTGGGCTCAAGCAATCCTACTGCCTCAGCCTCCTGAGTAGCTGGGACTACAGGCATGCACCACCATGCCCGGCTAATTTTTTCTATATATATATATTAGTTGGCCAATTTATTTCTTTCTAGTTATACTGGAGACGGGGTCTCACTCTTGATCAGGCTGGTTTCGAACTCCTGACCTCGAGCAATCTGCCCACCTCGGCCTCCCAGAGTGCTAGTATTACAGGCATGAGCCACCACACACAGCTGGTAAAACATTTTTATCAAAGACATTCTCAGATTTGGGATCATAGTTGCTGTGCCAGAGACCGCTGGAGTGGACACAGGATCCCAATTCTAGGCCACATTTATTTTCTAAATCTGAGGCTGAATTTTATATGTCCAAAATTGATTGTATATGTGTGCTAATTGATCTCCCATATTCTGAATTATTCTATGAACAACAACGACAAAAAAGTCACTTGATTTGCATAATGATCTGCCAAAACTTTTATCTTTGTTTTGTGGGGATTTTTATTTTACTGGAAAAATTAGGAATCCATTTTCTAAAATATCTCATGAATCCCAAAAAGTCTCTCGATTATGACTTAAGTTTTGGGTGTATGTGTTGCTGAGTCAATTTAATATCATCTTTAGATAGGGTCCATTCTTTGGTAGAAAGGTTATATTCTAAATAATATACCATATTTTTAAAGATTTGTGATTTTCCCTTTGCAGACTTTTGATCTTCAGCTGCTAGTTTCTTCAAGCAATATTCTTAGGGGCTTTTTAGATCAGATGAAAAATATGAATATTAAAGGAGAATTGAACCTCTTGAGAATGTTGTCTTTTAAATCTACTATTTAAATACTGGGAGAAGTATGAGGTGCCTCTGGGAATCCTTGAGACATTCTGTCCCATTATGTTAATTATTTGAAGAAAAGGAAAATAAATATTGACTTTTAATTTATTAGATGCTAAAAGAAGGGAACATAGAGGTCTAAAACTGTAAAATACTTACATTCAGGTGGAATTATAGATAGAATAGTATTAAGATTGGGTACAAGCAGAAACCTAGGAATAACATTGTTAATATTGGTCTTGTTAATGACCATTCAGTCTTTAACAAACCAATATCCCCTTTCTTTAGGCTTCTTGACAAGCAATGTGCAGTATTACAGGTACTATACAAGAAATTATTCTAAGTAGGATATTATAATTGGCTTTATTCTATGAAAAACTACTGGCTTCAGGGAAGTAGTCTGGTCAATGTTTTGGAAGACCCATCTGAATCTTTATAGGACTCCATTTCTATAATACACCTTATAAATTTGTAGAACATTTAACTCATAACTGGTCAGGTAAAATAAAGGTAAGGCATCTACAGTTTTAAGAGTCATTATTGGGCAAGTTCAGAAAAGTCACCTGTAATTACATGATTATGAAAGTGAATTTCTAGCATTTCCTCTGCAATTTCCAAGAATAACCCTTCATGTGCACTTAATCTGACCATTCTTTTTCCATAAAAGATCTCTTCCAACTAATGTTGGCAGATGTGCTATCACAAAGGAGACATGGATGTGTTTTCTCCAATTGCCCTAATGTGTAGACAAAGGCTGAGATATGAGTAGATTGGTTGAAAATATCCACTACAATAATAGTTATTACTCTAAGAGACTGATTTTATTTTATTGTAGTAGGGTTCAAAGTAGAAGAGTAGCGTTTGCATCTAATAGAAGTATGCATTTTTGTTCTCCTATGGTTATAGATAATTCTTGTTGTTCTGAAAGTGGTAGCAGATCCAATGACCAGGGGGATCTAATATCAGAGCTCAATTAATTGCCTGCCAGCCAAGGAAGATCCATATCTCTTAAGAAAGGAGCATGACGGCCAGGTGCCGTGGCTCACTCCTCTAATCCTAGCTCGCTGGGACGCTGAGGCGGGTGTATTGCTCGAGGTCAGGAGTTCGAAACCAGCCTAAGAAAGAGCAAGACCCATCTCTACTATAAATAGAAAGAAATTCATTGGCCAACTAATATATATAGAGAAAAAATTAGCCGGGCATGGTGGCACATGCCTGTAGTCCCAGCTACTCAGGAGGCTGAGGCAGCAGGATTGCTTGAGCCCAGGAGTTTGAGGTTGCTGTGAGCTAGGCTGACGTCACGGCACTCACTCTAGCCTGGGCAACAAAGTGAGACTCTGTCTCAAAAAACAAACAAACAAAAGAAAAAAAAGGTCAGGAGTTCGAAGAAAGGAGCATGAGTCTCATCAAACTGAATGTAGGAGGGCTGGGTATGACAGGACAAAGAGGCTTCAGCTAAGCGAGGTAAAAGGCAGGTGTTAAGTCTCTGGCTGGCTTGAAAGTAGGTTGCCAAGTATCTCTTGGGAAAGGCTAGTATTTGATACTGTGTCATCAACCCCGAGAGCAGAATCCTCAGACGACCGTAGGACAAGTTCTATCATGTCTTGACAGGCTCTAGGTCCCACAGCAGGTAAAACCATACAGGTTTCTCCTTCCACACATTGGCAAATAAGAAGAGCAAGCATGGTGCCATGTTAAAAAAAAATACGTGTTTTTATGTAAAAAATAAATGCAAATATATACTTAAGCAAGACTATTCAGCAAACTAATAATAGAGACGGTCTCTTAGGAAGGACCCGGATGATCAAGAGGTTTATTTTATATCTACTGTTTAACCTGCTACATAGTAAATGGACAACAAATGTTCATTGGATGAATCCATAAATGGATGGATGAATGAATGAAAATGTATTTACCGATTGTGTGATTGACAATATTATTTATGACAAGTTGGAGTTAAGTAGTGATGAATTACACAGACAATTTATTCAAGAAGTTTGGCAATTTCTAGGGGAGGTTGAAGCTCAAGAGAGGCTATAGGGAGGGCTTTTATTTCTTACCCCATATTTTGTTTTCTAGGGTTTCCTCAAACTTTGATATGTTCCCTCAATAATACCTCTTTGGTCCCCATGTCCTTCAAACTGCGTGTCCCTGGGGATGGCCTTGGCCATAAAAGCATTTCAAGTTGTGAGCATTATTCAGGCTGCAAAGGACTGTCTTGGACCAAGGAAGAAGTACCTGCAATAAAACCAAAAGAGTTCACCATCACTCCTGACTGTGGCACCATTCGCTCCCAGGGATTCACTGCTATCAGGGTAAGGTGCACAACCTTCTGGCGCACACAACCAAGCAGCTGAACCTTCAGCTAGCCATTGGGACCTCCTCTAGAGTTTGCTGTATGATGTCCAGTGTCAGCGGGAGGGAGTGCCTGTCCACATAGAAAAATGGGCCTATAAAGAAATAAACTGCTGCAGCAAAAGAAACCAGACACAATACATTGGTCAAAGAAACTGGAACTGCTCCAGTGGTTTTACATTACTCTAGATGCATTGCCTTCAACAGAAGAGGCAACTCTAAGTATTTCTAATGAAACTGCTGCTCTATACAGACAGTACACCCATCGGTACTGATAGAAACAGATTAAAGAACTCATTGATACTTAGGTTCTTCTTTCCTTCAGCTCAGATCCTTTATATCAATAAATAGTGACATTTATGCCAAAGATGATATCTAGTTTATTCAGATGTTCACATGATTCTGGGCTTCATGGCAAATTGTGGATGTGATGTTACTATCCATGCTTTATGTTGAGGTCCACAAGGCATAGTGAGAAAGCTGCTTTTTCACACTTCGTGTTTTGTCTGAATTCAGGGCAGTGGAATGCCTTGGTTACAGTCTTACGGTGCCACTAGCAAAATCATTTCACAGTTAGCTGAGAAAGTTTCTAGCTGTCTTTCCTCATTTCTGCTTCTCCAAACAGTTAGGTCTAGCAGTATGGAAGGTGGCTAAATTGAAATGATTCTTTTACTTTCTGGGAAAGAAAAAAGACTTCTTAGCTAAGATGGGTAATTTTCTCTTTGGTCATTATATCATTGAATATTTAATCTAGGCATCATTTTATCCCCCAAATTTGTTGTAAATGCCTCATAATATCTCACCTCAAATACACTCATCCTAAATCATTTCTAGAAGCTTTTGGCTCTTCCATGGGCTTCTCCACGGTTCTAATGAGGTTTGATAACATGTGTCATTATAACCTCTTAGGATTACTAACTGGAACCTTCCTTGGGAGCAGTGCTGCTGCAATGGAGTTCTTTCTTTTTTATTTAGCAGTGTTCAGCCTACATGTTACCTGTCTTTCCATTGTTTCTTTTATCCCTCCCAGATAGCTTGGGGAGACTTTAAAAGACAGAGCATCTCTCTAGCAGCCTTCTGCCAGGACCACTTGTGCTTCTTTCCTCTAACCACATTCCAAATACATCCATTACAGGCACACAAGGGTACTCTGTTTCGGTCCAAATCTGAAGTTTACTTTCCAAATCAATGACTTCATTTTTACTTTATATTTGAACAAATTTTCTCCATGCTTCAATTTTCTCTCCTGATCTGCACTTCAACCAAGTCTGTGTGGACTCAAATTTGCATTCAGTGATTCCCTCTGCAACCCAAAAAATTTTAATTAGTACCTGATACATAATTTATAGAGAGAAAAGCCTTAACCCATGCCAGAAGCTGTTTTCTAGGCTTACATGTATTTCTTCCAGTACAAATCATTTTAAAGCAATTAAAAATTATAACAAAGATTTCAAAAGCCTAACCTGTAAAGTTTCATAGTAGCAAATAAAAACCAGGTAAAATGTTCTGACCAGATATTAACATCAAATAGACCTGTCTTTGGAGCTTCCTATTTTCTGCTCTAATAAGGAATGAGGGAGTGGGCAAGATTTTGGTAAAACAGACTAATTGATTTCTTATGCCATTTTCTGGAACTGACATGGTTCTTTTCATTTATTTTGCCGTAAGAGAAATTTCACTTTAGTGTTTGATTAGTATGTTGAATTTCCATAATTCATATAGGCCAGAGGTGCCAGGAACAAATTTAAATTGCAATAATTAAAGTTGGTTTGATATTGTTCCTCCTTCATGGTCTTTTTTCCCCTCACACTGGTATGTAGCTTCTTTGATAAAACCTCCTCACAAATGAGCAAACCCATTGTACTAAAAGCCATTTGCTTTTTACCCTGGCCTTTGAAAACACCCAGCATGCCCTGACCCCACAATGTAACTTGTTCAACTAAAAATGGAGAATGCCATACATATATCCGTAAAGCACTTAGAAACCACACTGAGCAGGTCCTCTTCCAGCTGCTCTCCCCACTGTGTAGAGAGAGCCCTAGCCTTTTAGAAGAGCAACTTGTCACCTTTTTCTTTCCAGGTGACCTTATGCTCCAACACTGTGCAGAAATATGAGCTGGCACTGGTGGTGGACGTGGAGGGCGTCGGAGAAGAAGTGCTGGCGCTCTTAATTACAGCAAGGTAGCAGTCGCCTCTCCCCTTTCCAGAGCTCCCCAGAGCAGCCATAAGGGGCTGCTTCCCAGAGGCAGCTCCCCTGCCAGCCAGGGCACACTGCATTCCCTCTGCCTCTCTGGGAAGAGAAGTCGAGCCTGATATTCAAATGACAAAGCTTTAAAACAGCAAATGTTTCTAAAGCACCTTTGGTGGAGACAGGGAGGGTTGTGTGTGTTTCGCAGAGAACAGTGCAGAGAACCCTGGGAATAGGAGTCGTGCTCTCGAGTGGATCTCACTTTCAAAGTCTGTAACCGAAGGGTTTTAGCAGGAAGAGGTGAAGAGGTACTGAGTGTTATTTTTATCTTTCAATATAGTACTCCAGAGTTATGCAGCAGGAAGGTGCTCCTCTCAGTCCCGTAGTAAAAGACCCATTTAGCCAAGAGGTCCCTGCTCCAGGACACTGTTGCTATGACTTGAGCTGCAGGCTGTGGGTGGGCTGCCCGAATGAGACTCATCTCTAACAACACAAACTCCTCAGAACCATCACCAGCAGTCTTTTTAGAAAGGCAGAAAGGCATGGGCTCTGGAGTCAGGTTAAAATCCTGGCTCAGCCATTTGTTGACTGTGTCTCCTTGCCCAAACTACAGTCATTCTGAGAATGGAGATGAGGGATGATCCTAAATAAAATCATGGGGCCACATTCTTCCCAAGGCAAACATTGTCCACATCTGGGTCTTTAAAGTGTTCTATGAAAAGGTTATGTATATGAAATAGAGAAAATGAGTTAGTAAAACTGATAATACTAATAATATGTTCAATCTCTATAATTCTGGTCTCTTCATGAATCTTAGGAAGATACACCTTAAAGAAGGGGTGGATGTGCTGGTTGGTTGAGAGATAGGAACTAGCACCATTTCATGTGTCTTGGGCTTGGATGAAGACAAATAACAGCACTAAAAGAACTTTCACTAGGGTTTCCTCTACCCACAGGGAACGCGTTGCATTGCCTTGACCTACTTAGTATTCCTTCAAGATCTAATGTTTTTGTTTCTTTGTTTAAAAACAGCAAAATCTCTTTCAGCTTAGTCCTTTCTATACTCAAGTTTTCCTTGTAGTCTAGTCTTGCATTTCTTTTCTATGCAGGCTCATTCTGATACTTTCTAGCCCCTTTACCCTGCAGCTATCAACAGGAAATCTGGAATTAAAAAAAAAGAAAGTCTAAAGAGTCTCTGAGTTTCCTATTAATATATACTCTCTAACCCAAGTCAAATGTTATAAACTCTCTCAGTCACAGTATTCTTTCAGGCAGTAAAGGGTGAGCTTTAAGAAAGTCATTGGGTCAACTGACAACTTCATTCTAGCTAAAAATGAACATCCATCTCATGTTAAATCACAAACTCTGGGGTTAAAAAAGCCTCTTTCATGTCGTGATCTTCGGTATAATCTGTAGGAACTGCTCGCTGACTCTCAACAAAAGAGTTGCTTTTAGAACTGCACCCTCAACAAACTCTCTCCAGAGAGCCAGCGGTGACAGTTTGCTGGGCCTCCACCATGGGTTCACTACCTCTTGCTGAGCACTTACCTGGCACTGGGCTATGCCCTTCATTCATATTATCTCCTGGATTTCCCACAATGCCCTAAGAAGAGTTCATAATGCCAGTGTCAATCCCAAGAATACCTTAATTTTACCTGTGAGAGAAATGGGACTCAGAGACAGAAAGCAAATTGCCCAAAGTAACACAGGTTGTACTTAGTAAGGTCAGTATTTGAACCTGGCTCTGCTAATTTAAAAGCCAGCACTCTTCACCATCGCATTGTATTGCCACAATGACATAGTCAGGTTAGACACTGAGGGTTACAGACACCAAATGAAACCCAGGTCACCTAATCATAGGGCCAGCTGCAAACATGGCTTCAACTTCTTTGTTCCTTGCACACAACTTTCTGCCCTCTGCCCCCTGCTCCACCCACTGCATATCTCCATACTAAGAACCACTGTCACAGCGCCAGTTCTGGGCCAAGCAGCTGCCTGAGCCTACTAATCCAAGACAGCTGTTCTGCATAGGAATTAGAATCATTACCGTTATTTAGATGATGTGAGCTGTTGCTAGTCCTTGGGAGACTTTGTGACTGGTCCAAAGTGTCACAGCTAGTTAGGACCCCATGCTGGTGGCACTGGCCCTGTTTGACATGGAAACGGATCACTACTCACTACTCTAAGGAATTTGCACCACAAGGACTCCTTGCCAAAGGAAGGCCAACTATGCAAAAAACAGTGGAAATATGAGTCATTACCCACCAAAGACAGCAGTTTAAAGAGTTCTGTTTCTAGTCCTTTTTTGATTAAAAAGTGGTGACCAGGGTCTAAGAGACAGGGATGACAGGAGAAAAGATTTGAAAATGACTAATGTAGTTATTAGAGAAAAACTACTATGTGACAGTGACAAATGTATTTGGGACTCTGTGTTCTCTGTATGTAAACAAGCTCTCTGTTTTGAATTGTTTAATGGGCTCCTTCGAGCAGGTGTGTTGTACCTACCCTACGCTTGGTTAATACAGAGGTGGACTTTGGGCACTGCTTCCTAAAGTACCGGTATGAGAAAACGATCCAGCTTGTCAATCAAGATAACCTCCCTGGATACTATGAGGTCCTGCTTCAGGTGAGTTACTTTACCTCTCTTTAGTATTAATTCTTCTTCCATTGCATTTTCTTGATGAGAAAGAGAAATCCTTCCAAATAGCCATATTCCTGAACACATGACCTTATGTAATTCTGATTTTTAACCCTCGGATGGTCTGGGGATGGGATTATAAAGTCACAGCTGGATTGCCATCTGCGTGAGTGAGCAGCTGCAGGTGTAAACAGTTGTTAATTTCCCAGGGATATTGCCCTCGATAAAGAAGGGAAAGTGTCAATTAAGCCAACATGCAGAATTGCACCTGCAAATAATTGCCTGTGAATTAACCATGCATGGAAAATGAGCTAAGAGTTTTCATTATGTCCATGGCTGTGACTTGAATGGCATCAGTAAAATATAGTAATGCAATATTTATAAGTGAGTTTGTTGGACCAGAAGGCTAGAGATAACACAGAAATGAGAAAGGCAGCATTGCTTCTTAATGTTTTATGAAATGTGTTTGTTCACATGCCACTACACCCAGCTAGGTAGGAGACAAAGCAGTTAAATACGTATGGATAAACAATTCAGAAAAGTCTGTATAGACTAGAGCAATGGAAGGTTACTAATGAGATGCAGTTTACCAAGAGTGCATTCGAGTTTAAAACTCAAGTTATGTAAGTACAGTACTCTAATAAAAATTCATGTAAAGAAATCAAATGGGGAGTCTATTTGGCTACAAGTTCAATATTAGTTAAAAACAGCAATGTGGGGGCCACAGATGCAATGCAGGTATAGGCTGCATCAGAGAAATACAGTGTTCAGGTAAAGGAAGGAGATAGCCACCAGTCAGAACACAGCCAGACTTTTGTTTTCAGATGTTGTCATTGTATTTTTTTAAATGGAAACTTGAAAAGAAAATGTATCGTGTTCATGTTCAGAGTAACCAAAATGGCAATTCATGGCATCTACAAATCCAAGTCACATGAGGAACCAAGTCAAGTGTTTAATCTGGAGCAGAGTAGATGTAGCTAGGACTAGTCACAGGGTTGTCATGTAAAAGAAAGAATTATAATTATTCTGTGGGCTTCTCTGAGACAGGACCAAGAGCCAGGGGTGGGGGTGACAAGAGTCAAAGTCTAGTGCCCAGATGCTCAGCAGCAAGACAGACTGATGCTACACAGCACGTGATCGTCTCATGAACTCACAGCAGAGCCTACATCTGGAGTCAGAGGAAGAAATTCCACACAACAGGGCTGGGGAGAGGGTGAAGCACTTGACTTGAGCACAAAATTTAAGGGGAAGCCAAACAGTACTCAAGATATTTAATACTTAATATTTTCATGCCATATTCCAAAAAATCAAAATTAATTCCAAAAATGAGCCATAATGAACAAAATATGAAAACTTCGATAAAGGTAGGATCAGCATGACTAATTTCTCCTTTTGCCTCAAACTCCAGCAGGGTTTGACAGAACACTGCTGCACAGGGGGACTGAGTCAGATTGGGCTGCATTAGGCCCGACCAGATGCAGAAAGACTATGAGGTCAAACCTGTATGTTCCCTCTTTCTCCTGAGGACCTGAGGCTCTGAGAAGTATTTCCCAGAATCTCTCAGTGGGATTTTTAAATTTTTATTTGTTGCTGCATAAAAGCTAGTCATGTGCTTCAGAACAGGGTTCTGAGAAACACACATTGGTAATAAACACTGGTAAGCATTCATTCATTCACTCATTCTCTCATTTAACAAAACACGTACTGAGTGGGCCAGAAAGTGGGCATGTCGAGAGGAGATGCCTGGGCCTTGCCCCAAGAAGTTTACAGCCATAGAGAAGTGGGATACATAGATGGTTACGGTGCTGTCCAATGTGTGCCGTGGAAAAGGACTTCACAAGATGCTCTTTGGGGACAGAGGAAAAGCCCCCACCTTAGGGCACTAGAGGTACCATAGTGGAGGAATTCAGGAAGAGAGTGCCAGGTAGGCTGTCGGGAGTGGGCATTCTAGGAGGAGGCACTGCAGCACAAAGGGTGGGAGGCAGGAAGCAGCAGCATGTGTGCGGGAGGTACCAGTGGCCTCCGTTGATGGAGCACAAAGGGACAAGGTGGTGGGCAGTGATGCTTGTAGGTGCAGAGGGCCAGGTTAAAGAACTTGGCAGTGGAAAGCTGAACTAATTCATGTTGTGGATAATTTTTGTTGGGCACTCTGGATTTTTGGCCTTATGCATACTCTGCTTAACCAAACTTCCTTTTGGCTGAATTGGGGTGCTCATCCCCAGCTACTTGCTTATGCAATAAGACATTTCCAAAGGACCTCTGTGGACTCAGGAAAACACTTATGTCAAAATAAATTACTGTGATATTCGTTCCACACTGTGCCATGGGCATGCTCAGCCCTCCGGCTTGTCCCTCCCTCTAGGTGTCTGAGGACCCGTCTGCCGTGCTGCTCTCTAGTCCCGTCTCCTTCGGGGTCATCCCGCCCAATGGCACCGTGCACATACCGCTAGCCCTGGAGACCCAGGTCACTGGGGAATATGGGTCCGCCGTCTGCATCTCGACCTTCGGGAGCCAGGACCCCCCTCTGGTGAGAGCCAGTTTTCAGAGCTGCACTTGAGATTGCTGTACTTCTTGTCACACTTGTCAGGTTCCCTCACATAGGCCTGTGCCATATTCACATATGCTCCAGTTGTTTGGAGTTTTCACCGTGCAATGGTAAGATACCAGTGCCATGTTACTGTAGGGAATCTATTTGCAGATGCATCTAAAAGAAGTGGTATTTTATAGCAGTTGTTCTTATACCTAACTGAGTGTCAGAAGTTTCTCTCTTTCTCTCTCACTCTCACACATGCACACGTGCACACACATATAACATACATGCCTGATCCCTCTCCAGACCTTTTAAATCAGAATCTCTGAAGGAAAGGGGCCAGCACATCTATATGTTGAACGAGGTCCCCAGTTGTTCCTGCTGCAAAGCTGGGTTTGGGTATCACTAGTTTGTCACATGTGGGCTGTGAGATCAGTTTCCTTCACTGCTCATGTGGTTTTTTCCTGTATCTTAACTCAGCTCATAGGCCAAATTAACCTATTCACACTGTTAAGAGAAATAGTCTCTCTCCAAGCATGGTAGAGGGAGACGTGGAAAACTTACCACTGCTTGGGCTGAATTAAAAGATAAATTTTGGATCTTAAAGGAGGTTGCCCAACAGGCTCTCTATGCCTAAACATTTGGTTTACTTGGGAGCTTGGTGATGTCAGCTTACATTTGTTTGAAGTGACTCTGATTACTTAGAAAGTATAGAAAGCTAGGATTTTTCTTTTATCTCTTCCCTGTCAGATGCCATAGGTTTGCCACCCAACTTATAAAGCAGCATCACGAAAGCAGGCCAGTCCCCAAAGGTGCCACCAGTCCAGGTCACCTACTAGGGTGCACCCCCCTCAGCCCCCTGCACAGAGGCAGCCCATGAGAGGGAGCTTGCTGAGCAGACAGCACTTTATGAAAGAAAAGGACCCATCTTCCTCGGGGAGACGCCTCCAGGGCTTGGCCAATGGCACAGGGAGTGGGGAGCAGAGCACAGTGGATTTCAGTCCCCATCCTGCACAACTGTGTACAATGGCCCAGCCCTGCCTGCCATGCTTCTTGTAAAGCAACAGAACTGGGACTCAAACCCAGACACATCTGGCTCTTGAGTTCTGGCCCTTAACCCCATTCTAAGTATTCTTCAGGCTAGAGTGCTACGTGGGATGTGGGGGACCAAGATTCTGGTTTCCCCTCAATGCGCGGCTCTGGGCTGACCTGGGGAAGCTGACCATCCTCCTTAGAGACGATTTCCAGCCTAGAGTCACAGCTCTGACACAGCACGGCCATCTGTTCCCCTCCAACCACGGAGTACCAGGGGGAAGGGATGTCTTCTCATAAACACCATTTTATGCCCCTACTCTTTATTAAAGGGATGGCTGGAAGCTTCTGTTTTAACTGATTTTAAAGACTAGCCATTTCCATCTGTTCCTAAGTTCTTTCTCTCATGTGGAACTCAGGTATGTCACTTAAAGAGCATCGGAGAAGGCCCAGTTATCTACGTATATCCCCCTCAAGTTGATTTTGGCAGTATCTACGTCCTGAAAGACTCTTCCAGGATTCTCAACCTATCTAACCAGTCGTTCATTCCCGCATTTTTTCGGGCACACATGGTAAGTTATGGAACATGATGTGATGAAGACATACCTTTGGCTTATAGGCAGTGGCACCGTTTTTGTAACATGTCTTTGAAAATGATCACCGGAAGCAGAAATTTGCAAGGTTAAACCATAGTAAACCATGTCATTCCCATCCCCACTTTCTCTTCATTACAATACTTTTGTTAATTAAGAAACATAATGTGCCTGTCTTTTGGTAAATAAGCAAATATATTTAATAGAATCCCAGATTAAGAAGATGCTTCAGAGGTCTACAAGTTCTCCTACTGAACTGTACCTGGGCCCGGCCTGGCTCTCAAAAAACTTTCTACATGTCTCTGTAACTAGAAGTGCTTCCTTTAATTTGAATCCTTTTGGCTACAAATGTGTTAGTATGTTTATTCTATTTTTATTCTCTTTTCCTTCTAGGAATATTTTAAGGTAGTTTGTAAAGATGTATGAAATACAAGATAGCATTCACCAAAAAGAAAAAAGAAAACAGCAAAGCAAAGACAGATATAAAATGGTTTTAGAAATGGGTCTGTCTCATATCTGTGTGCTATTGACCCTTGAACAACAAGGGGATTGGGGGTGCAGACCCCCCTATAGTAAAAAAAATCCACATATAACTTTTGACTTCCCCAAAACTTAACAACTAATAGCGTGCTGTTGACAAAGCCCTACCAATAACATAAACAGTTGATTAACACATATTTTGTCTGTTATATGTGTTGTTGTATACTGTATCCTTAAAATAGAGTAAGCTAGAGAAAAGAATATGTTATTAAGAAAATCATAAGGAAGAGAAAACATATTTAGGGTTCATTAAGTGGAAGTGGATTATCCTGAAGGTCTTCATCCTTGTCATCTTCACATAGAATAGGCTGGGGAGGAGGAGGGAAAGGAGGGGATGGTCTTGCTGTCTCAGGGATGCCAAAGGCAGAAGAAAATTTGCATGTAATGGACCCCTGTTGCTTAAGAGTCAACTGTAGTTCATAATGACATTCAGACCTACTAGTCTTCTATAAACTACTTTTTTATTTTTTGTACTAGAACAGAGATAATATAGCAAGTAGTTTATTATCCAGAATTTATGAATTTCTAATCCAATAATGGAAAGTATTCTTGATTTGAGAAATCATTTTCTGATTTTAAATATACAATTTTAAATGGTGTAGCCCTCTGCCTATCCCCAAAATGTTGGCATTTGAATGAGAACGGACGTTTAGTTTCAGTGTTTGTAAGGTATTTCTGAAGAATCAAATATTATTTATTTTATAAAAGTCACCAGCAGAAGAGATAGGATTATAGTTTTCTGCTGCCTTGTGACAGCTCACCAGAGACATTGACCCCAATTAGCAGCCATTTAGCATTATCAATATTCATTTTTATTATCCTTATCCCTTAGGAAGGCGGCCACTTTCACATACAGTCACTGTTCTTTTTAACATGGGGTTCTGAAACAACCCCAGTCTTGCTATGGCACCTTGTGGATCATGGGTAAAGAATATTATTTAATAATGTTTAAAGAAAAATCCTACAGAAAAGACATTTTCACTGGCGTTTAACCAGTTGGTTAGTGGATATGTTTGGTGAAAAGCACAGGGTATCACTCAGGAGCATTGCTTCCTGGTCCAGAGCAGAGCTGACATGAGAGAGGAAGAGTCAGAACAATGAGGGGAGGGCCCCAAAGGCTCTGAAGGGACACAGAGGAAGGACACAGGCAGGACCACAAGAAAGCTTAAGTACAAGTACAGGTGCTCTGCCATGCTCGCCACCTCTCCTTTCGTTTTCAAATATCTCCAGATTTTATTTGTTTTATGGCAACTTTTGGTATATTTTTAAAAACAAAAATCACATCAAGGATCTATTGGGGTTTTTTACTAATATAGTGTATATATTGAATGACCTACTCAGTTTGTTAAAATGGGACTTTTTCTTTTCCACAAAGATATCACGATTCCATCTTTTGGTTCATTAATGTCATCTTAAATTATCAAGCTCCAGTTCCAAAGAGCCAAACGTGTAATATCTACTGTAGAATATGTTTTTCTCTCAATCTTGTCTTTGAAAACTGGTGTTTATTGAGTTGTAGCATAAAAGTAGTTTCAGCTGTAGTTCTCATAAGAGAAAACTCCTTTCATATTTCAGCTGGAATTTTTGTTCAATTTCCTAGTAAACATGATACGTATTAACATTATAGAAATTGAATTATGTTAACTTAGAAATTAACTAGAGTGGAAAGAAATTGAAATGCTATTTATTAAATATCAACTTGATAATATTTACTTATGGTACAGTGCTGAATCTTCTAACTCATTTTTACAGAAATTACTAAGCATTAGGAAAGAGTTTCAATTAGTAGTTGTTTGTTCCCTAACTAAACCTATGACAAATTCAGATGCTAGAAGGTCTTCTCTTTTCTTTCTGGATGTCCTGATGGAAGGGGTCATTCCCTCTCCTCTTTTGGCTGTTGGTGACTGTCAGCCCTCCCAGATGCACTCACTGTCAGCTGTCCATCTGTCACACTCAGCCTTGTGTGTGGTCACATATCACAGCAACCACTGTGATTAGATTCACCCTTAGCAAGAAACATCTGGTTGTTATCAGCCAGAGGGGTCAATAGGAAGTTAGAAGCCCACTCGCACAATGATATTGGAAGATAAATGACACAGCAATTTTGAATTTCTCAGAAATAAATGCTATACAAAACCCATGATTTTTAAAAATACTGAGACCTTTTCCTATAGTATGAAGTGAAAAAACAGTGAATCATGGTTGTATTTTTTCTGTTACATTAAAGCTTCATTTATCCTGAGCGTAAAAAAAAAAAAAAATTAGTAGTACAAGGATTAGTGTTCTGTGACCTGAAGCAGTAGGTTCTCCTTTGCTTTGGAATGCCTAGAATATCAGCCTCCCCTAAAGGTTCCCAGCAAGCTGAATTATTTGAAACAATCGAGTAAGTACCTCTGATGTGGAGGAGTAAAAGAATATCAGAATATAAGACAGAGTTTGGAAAGGCTCTTCTGGCAGGAGAGTGTGGGCTCTGCTTGTGCACAGAAAGCTCGATCAGGAAGAGAGACTACCTCTCTTTGGGTGGGCAGCAGAAATGAGAACACAGATGTGGCAATGTCCCTGGGGCCTTGGGACCTCAGCACTGGGCTGGGAGATAGATGCCTTCTTTTCATGGGTGCCCCTTGCTAGGTGGAGCAAGTGCATTGCTCGCCACTTGTTTGGAAGCATCTGGAATCCCTTTCCTTTTACTCTTGGCTCTAATTTGGCCTCGGCTGCAGTGAGCTCAAAGCCCTTTGTACAGATGCCAGTGACGCCTTGGAATTCAGCTGGCTCTAAGACTTCTTTGCAGTGGCTTTATGCCTCCATGATCTGCAGGGAGAGGCCATTGTAGTTAGATGTTTAGAATTCCTGAAGCCAGGAGACAGGAATTCTGATGCCCCATGCAAGTACAGTTTTTTAAAAACACTTACTTTTCTTGGTCACCTGCCATTGTTATACACGGTTCTATGGCAACAGGGCATTTATTGGGCTTTCACATCTCCTTCAGACTATCAGCCACTGGCTTATTTCCTCATTTCAGTAGGGACCCCCTTTCAATATTTCTTTGTTTATATGTCGGTCTCCTTTAAATGGCAGTAGTCTCTGAACTGAATTTCCAGCACCCAGCAGCAAGCCTGGCAATTATAATGATCACAATATGATGACATTTAATTGATTATGATTAACATTTATTTAGTTCTAACTATATTTGCCACTTTAAGTATTTCATTTATTATAACTTGATGAGAAAATACAGTTCTAATCCCCATTTTAACAAGGTAGAAACAGAGGGAGAGACACATTAAGTAAACCTTTAACGAGTAGATTAGCTCTGCCCTCAATTTGAACCGTTACATCTATAGAAGGAAATTGTTCAAGGAGAAAGGAAAGAAATTGTTAGGTCTGTGGTAGGAAATGATGGGGGAAAAGGTATAAGGAAAAAGTAAAGAAATGGACATGAATCAGAAACCATCTACAGTTGTCATGCCTCTTTATTTTTTTTATTTTAGAATTTTACAGGGGTACATACATTTTGGTTACATAATTTGTTTTTGTACAGTTTGAGTCAAAGTTGTAAGTGTGTCCTTCACCCAGTTGGTGTGCATCGTACCCGTTAGGTGTGAATTCACCCGTCCCCTCCTCCCCTTCCCACCTACTTTATTTCTCTTGAATTGTACTTCCATATGTGTACATAACTGTTGATTGAAGTTGGATTTTCTCTAATTACTATCCAAGTATACAGTTAGTATCTATCATCACAGAAGGAAATTAAGATAAAACTTCATTTTTATGGATCAAGTACAGTTTTTTTTTCCTTTGCATTCTACCTTCCCTCCTGCATAGAAATAGATAACTTCTTTCCCATTACCAGTATTATCATGAGCCCAACTCATGTCACTTTGAAAAGATGGCTATCATTGTCATTATTTACTCTTCCTGTTTTGTGCACTGACAGTAGACAGCCATATTCAATATTAAGCCAGTACAAAATGTAAAAATAAACACTTTTATTTAATGAACAAAAATGAGAAGAAGTACATCAAGTAGCATGGTATAGAGATTTGTTAATGGTATGAAATCTCAAACACACATTTATCAATATTACATGCTGTTTGTCAGAGAGAAAATAATATTCTTCCTTAGTTCCATTTCCTCTTCCCTGTCACAAGCAAAAGGACAGAAGCTGCAGGAGCACGTATGACATGGTATAACTCTCCGTAGGTTGGCACTTAGAGTGTGTCTTCTTTTAATGTCAGTTGCAAAGAAATTGTGTACAACTTTAAGTTTCATGCTTTGAAAGAAAAAAATCTCCCTCTGGGATTTTAGGACATTAAATTGGGATGCATTTGGGAGGGAAGGTCAACATCATCCAAGAGCAGACCTGGTTATGTGCCACGCACAGTTGTCTTACATATGGTAATCATTCAACAAAGAGTTGTTGAGTATATGAATGCTGATGT